GGTATGTCTCATTTATAACAAGTTATAAGTTAAGACCGTATGATTTCCGTGATGCAGAGGGAATCCCTGTGCAGTCGTGAACATGGAATTTACAGTATAACGAGGATGTCACGTAAAACGTGCAGTCTGATGGATAAATCAAAAGTAGATATAATATGTGTCTGTGAATATGTATGTGCAAAGAGACAGCTATATAAATAATCTGCTTGTTTCTGCATGTCTCTGAGTGGCGGCGTTTTATCTACCGCATACTGAATGGTGTTTTCAGCGTCTACATAAACATGAACATCAGCAGAGCTGCTCTGAGAGAAAACGTAAATAAACATTTCCTAGTTTTATTTGAGAAAAACCATTGTCAAATATACTCTGAAGCTCAAAGTTCCGCTACAACCCATCAAAATAAACATTCGATTTAATTTGAAATTATGACAGAAATATATTAGCATTTATATACTTCAAAGTTATAATAATAACAACAATAATAATATTCTTTATAATAAAATTATTTATTAAACATTGTTTTCAAGGAATATCATGTTTGTCCATGTTTTAAAGGAGTTGTAAATTTTCATTTGATAACATTTTAAAACATTAATTAAAATGTTCAAGTGTGATATAGATATACATAAGGTGTACAGCTTTATTTTTTATTGTTTTTTAAATTTATTTATTAATTTTTTCAGAAGGGAGACTTCAAGTTTGTTGTAATAAAAGATTTGTTCACTCAAATAACTTGTTCTTGTTCTTTTAAGAGTCATTGTTACTGATAAGAATTATTGTTTAATATATACCGTGATAACCGTGAAACCGTGATATTTTCTGAGACGATTATCATACAGTGAAAATCTCATACCGTTACAACTCTAGTGGCACCAAACAGAATTACAAAAATAATGACTTGTTTTCAATTAGGGTTCTTAACACAGGTCTGCCATTGGTCAGAAAAACAGCCCTGCCATTGGTTGAGCATTTGTTGCTTTGAAGAACTGCGGGACTAATGCAAATGATGCAGGCTCAAGTGCTTTCTGAAACTAGAAAAAATTCAAAAGACAGAGTTGTGCAGGCAAAGCATATGACGAACTGTTTGGTGTCATTAGATTATTATCTGGCAATATTGTCGACTTCATAGCACAGACACTATTTAAACTGAGCTGAGATGGAAGATGACATCACTGAATCAATAATGAGCTGACTTTAACTGAAAAATTGAGTGTTTACTATTGTCCTTATGCATTATCGAACTATTTTCCTGTTCAGCACAGTAAAGCTGCTTTGACACAATCTGTATTGTATATTAGTATTAGCTGTTGTTAGCTTCAAAATGCTCGTATTAAAAATGCTCGGCTGCTGCTGGTGACAAAATGATTGGAAAAGTGTGTGTTAGAATCTTTAGTCACAGTGGGGTTCACATGAAGGTTTGCTACGACATGTTTTTAGATGTATTTTTCCAGATTTTTTTTTTAATGCTCACCATGGCTGCATTTATTTGATGAAAAGTATTGTAAAAACATTTAAAATTTGAAATGTTATTACAACAAAATTTCAGAATTGTTTTCTATTTTATTATATATTAAAATATAATATATTCCTGTGGTGACAGCTGAATTTTCAGCAGCCATTTCTCCAGTCTTCAGTGTCAAATGATCCTTCAGAAATCATTCTAATATGCTGATTTGGTGCTCAAGAAACATTTTTTTTTATTATCATCAATGATGAAACTGTTGTTCTGCTTAATATTTAACCATGTTAAAAATAATATATATTTTTTAGGATTCTTTGATGAATAGAAAGTTCAAAAGAAAAGCATGTATCGAAATAGAAATCCTTAATTTATCATTCCAACTATCTTTGTCACTTTTGTATCTGAATAGAAATGTTAAAAAAAACTTACTGACCTCAAGTGTTTGAACTGTAATATATGAGTAATGGTTGACATTATTTCATTATATTCTGAGTAATACTTTGAATTATCACTCACAGCCACTTCACTCTATGAGGACATTTATTTAAATTAAAGTTTTCCTAATCTAGTAGCAAATGTGATTAAGCTTTTTTTAGTGTGTTTATATCTGAATTTGGCTCATATTTGAGGTCATATAAGGCCAACAGTGTCACTGGTCCACCCAAACTGACTGCTTATTTACCCATTCAAATATTAATTTGTTTTTAATTATAAAAAAAATATATATTGTCTGTATATCATCATATTACTTATAGCTTGAAAAATGTTTTTGTCAGGTTTTGTGTTCTGCAGTTCACAAGATTTATTCTTGCCTCCAGCACCACAGATATCATTATTACCTATAACGTTAAAATGTAGCTTAAGTGTGCCAATATTGCACTGTGAATTGTGCAGCTCTACATAATGCTGTGTAAAATGAGCTAATATTTTCTAATAAAGGCTAATGATGGGGTTACACTTCACAACACTCAATGAAATTACAGAGAAGGTACAGAATAGACGTCCACCCACTGAGATTTCTGGCCTTGCTGCTGTGTGGGAGAAATGAATTGACTTTGTGTTGTCATCAGAAGCTAGCTAAATAGCAAAAGAGACAAACAGGGAGAGATATAAACAGTTTCAACCCGTCATGTCATACAAACATTTTTTCCAGCAATGATCATACTCCTAAATGATGTCATGTTTTTCATCCTTCATCTAATCGATCTGTGTGTGTGTTTGTACTGTAGATATGTTTTGCTGTCGACTGTCGTTTTGAAGTCATGTTCTTCATCATGGCATCTGTGAGCTCAGCGGTGCCCATCATGCTCTGCTGTATCCCTTAATAAAATCTAGGCCAGTTCACGCATCTCCAATCCACTCTGATCTTTATCTCTTTCTCTTTCTGTTTTCCTCTCCGTCCATCTCTCTCGCCCTCTCTTTCTCTCTTTTCACAGGCAAGTCCTGCTCCAATTATTGTCAACACGGACACTTTGGAATCTGTACCATACGTGAGTTTTGATTTTTCATTAATTTATTGCATGTTCATGACATTATGCACAGCCGTGACATTGCAGATCATCCACTTGATCAGATCAATGCCCATGCAGAGTGAGTGGCGAAAGAGTTTGACATCCTTTTTTTTTGCTCTTCATAAATGTAGTGCCATTTATCACTCTCCACTCTGCGCAAATACGATCAACGTATTCAATGATTGATGGCTTTTCATAAATTAACCAGATAAGGAGGCCAGTGATTATCGGCGGGTTAGATTAGCACAGGCTTTTCTGTTATGGGTTTGAAATATTAATGTGTGGAGTCAACTGTTTTTTGGTGGGCTGTATGAGAGATATTTGATTAATGGTTTAAAACAGTCAAATCAGTTAATTATGATATTCCATTTCAGTTAGTATGCTGCCTTAGAAATTTGCTACCAGTTTGCTAGGTTTTAGATCAAAGCGATAGGTAGATAAATGCAAAAGAAAAATCATGAATTGCGCATATGACAGAACAGGTGATTGGAGTGAATGAAAGAACACAGAGGGGGAGAGCAGTGTTGAATCAGACACCAACACAAAGTGATAAACACTCAGCACGAAGTGTATAGAGTTCACAGACACATTAACAACACAGCTTGACCTTCAGTCAGCTGAGGCAGGTTTTGTCTGTCTCCTGCAAACTCCAAAATAATCGTCTGTTATTTCTTGTTTCTGCAATGATGTAATTTGATCATGTACAGAAATGGCCAGCCATTTATGAACAACCTATTCATGAACAATAATGGCCAGCCATTTATGAACAACCCAGAACATTCTTTGTTTGTTCTGCTTAAGCTTGCTTGTTCAGCCAATAATATAAATCAAAAATAAGATAATTTTAACCAATCAATTGTTTCTCCTTAATGGCGTTGAGTTTAATTGAAGATTAAAAAGGTCTCTTCCTGTAACATCAAGGGAAATATCCCTCTGTTGTTCTGTTTTGTATTGGCTGTTGTACACGACTCTTATGCACACCCTTCACGTTCACTGAGGATAATTTCATTTGATTCTTGTTTTTCTGCTTGCATCTCAGTAATGAAATATTAACATCAAAGCATATCCAGATGACTGTGAATGTGCAGTGTTGTAGTCAAAGCGCCGTACTTCCATCAACAACGTGAGATCGACCATGACATCCTGAATCCAGCAACAAGCCTAATGCTGTGAAGTCGGTTTAATTGCTTTTCCCCCTGCTTTTCCTGCTGTTCTCAGTTTAAAGCCCAGTGTGGACATGTGTTGAAGTATGTGTGAGATTACGATGATTATGAACTGCTTTAAGCAGCAATCTGTCTCTGATAGAACTTCTCCTAATAGCCTAATACAAGAGAACAAGCAAGAGACGAGGGAGTTCTGGGAAAAGAAAACACTGATGGATTACTCCAGCAAAGGTGTTCACTCTGAGTTTAGCCTGTAAACACACCCTGTGTGTGTGTGTGTGTGTGTGTGTGTGTGTGTTCTGTGCTCTCAAAATGCAAATCTCTAAAGTAGAATAGATTAATTTTTTTCTTTACTGAGAACTTGAGAAAAGTCATTACAACAATATTAAGGGTGTTGTAAACCTAAAATGTTAGATATGGCATCACTGGGATTTACCATATGCTGCGTTTTAGATTTACGCACTTAATCTTCTTCAGTCTATCTGAGTTTTGGGAGTTTTGTTTTCATACAATCTGTTTACAACCCAGTGATTTTATTTAAGGGTGGACCATCATACAATTCACATTGTACACACTCATACAAAATCATCACCTTGTAAAAAAGTTATTGAGTCGTCTTTGTGGAGATAAAAAGACTTGACATGACCCCAGAGACAAAAGAGAGAGGTGCTGCAGTAAAGCCAGTGGGAAAGGACCAAATCAAGCTCATTATGCATGTATTCATGCAGTACATTTATCCTACACACACACATTCACTCACCCAGCACAGTATCATCTGTTCACTTTTTTTTAAAGGAACCTTGGTTGCTTTAGTGCAGATTTGTCTCGGGTTAAATGCTACGTGGGCTTTGTGCTGTTTATCAATGAATTGTCAAGGCTAGTTGAAAACCAAGCTTAAAAGACAGATTTTTCTTTGGAGTCATGAAAAAAATGAGAAATGTCTCCATCTGTTGCTGCTTCTGAAAGATGTTGAAGAAATGCAAGAGTGTGTAAAGCTGTCAGACGTTATAAGGTACATAAAGGAGTGCAATAGACCTTAGTCAGAGAAAATGCCATATTTAATTTGATGCAAAAGAAACATTCAATAGGCAAGGTTGCAAAGCTGTCGAAATAAATAGTCTTTACAAACAACTTGGGTTGTGAAAATAAAACGTAGGATATTGGTATAAAGATGCATTATCTTTGTAAAGGGGTAATATGATGCTATTTTAAAGATCATTATTTTGTGTATTTGGTGTAACAGAATATGTTGACATGCTTTAATGTTCAAAAAACACATTATTTTTCAAATACTCTTTGGATTTGAGACTTTAGTCTTTGCAACTTTACAGATCTTCTTTATGCACCAAGAGCTTGTAACACTCCAAAGAGAAAGGAAAACTTGAAATCGCATCATATGACCCCTTTAATGCATTACTACTTTTTTAAAAAATATTTTACAATATTACTGTAGTTTTGTTTAAATAAATCAGCCTTGATGAGCACTTCTTATGTTTTCTTCAAAAACGTAAAAAAAAAAAAAACTTTTAACGGTCGTATATATTGGTCATATTAATAGATTAGATAATCCAAGTTTTAAATTGTCTTTGATTTAATATGACAAATTTTGTGTGCGTTTTAGATTATTGCATTGTTAGCTTAGCAAAATGTTAGCATTAAACTCAGTCTACAAATGATATTTTGTGTAGGTCCATGATGCTGCTTTAAAATGTGGCTGTCTGTAAACAATAGACGAAAAGACAGCTCACTAATTTTGGAGCAAAGTTAATATATTGCAATTTAAATATGCACAAACAATGAATATTCAATAGACAATACAGTTTAAATCTCAACCCACTGCTGCCTAGTTTTAGACCTGGTGAGAAATCTGGTTAAGTACTGTTAATTATGAAGCCTCCACTGTGCTCACTGTTACTGTAGTGGGAACAGAGCTCATCTAGAATGTGCGCTAAAGATCATCAAGGGGGGCGACAGGATTAATAAAGCATTATTGAGTCAGTGTAGCTGTTAAATAACACCTGCCTAGCTTCAGCAAAATGACCCTTTCTGCCTACTTTTAAAAGCGCCTTTGTTTCCATTAGCTGTCAGGAATAACAGTGGTTAGTTCATAGTGCTAATTAGTCCACGTGGGTGTGTATTGAGGAAACCGAGTCTTATGTCGCGGCCCGAGGGATATTTCGTGTTTAATCACTGTGATGGGTGTAAAAATATGCCATCCCATCAGGCAGAACTCTAAAGGGAAAGCGTCTTGCTCGAAAGTGCCCGGTTCCTGCATTGTAGTCAAAACAGTCGCCATGGAAACTTGACCCGCTATGCGTCGTTTGCACAAGCTGTGCGGATGAACGCACTCAGGCGCATCGTACATTTGCGAGTTTGTTTTTGGTGCCACATTTGCAGTGACTCACGAGTTTAATGTGAGCTTTTACACCCCGGATGTTGCATGGTGAACTCCCCTCCCACCGTCCCCTCTGCAGCTGCACTCTCCCCCGGTCCCCAGTGTCTCACATTTGCAACACCATGCGGCTCAGAATGCTAATGCCACTCAAAGCCCAGTAATTGGGTCATTACTTCAGGTGAAAGATGGAAAGGCCATGTTTTCCTGACCTAAAGAAAAGTCCTCCAAACTTAATGACCAAATGAAGTGCGTTTGATTATCAGTGTCTTAAGTCGGTTGATAAGGGGTGTTGTTCTGTTCTGATGAGCGCTGCTGTTGTTAATGATCTCATTTACTCCGTCTTATTGGTTTCTCATGCTCATCCATCAATTATCACTTCCATCAGTTATCTCCCTGATTGTCTTCGTTGGCATATTCAGGGTGTTCTGAAGAGCTCTCGCACACACGCGTTGATGAAACTGCGGAGAAGGGGCTCGGCTGCCGTCGCTCTGATTAGTTCGTGTCAAACAGAAGCACTTATGTGCACTGAGAAATAAATCCAATTTTGGCTCAGACAATAAGCAAAATGGCCACATCAGATGTTGTGTTTGACCAAACAATGTCATTATATTAATTGTGAAATTATTTGAGCAGTTGCAGAGCATGATGTAGGCGTTTGTCTTGGCTGGTAATGTTCTCTGAGGATCCCTGTGCTCATATAATCTGCATCCAATATAGTTTCTATATTACATGGTTTCTTAAAGTAAACTCATTGGGAATTTAAACTTGAGACATGTATCACTCTATAGCGATGTTCACACCACTGTATAAGTGAGTAGTCAAATGAAATCATGTACAGTGTTGTTTAATTTTGGATATTTTCTCTGCATCTGTGATTCATAATAGTCAGTTGATCTAGTTGATTTATTTATTATTTATTTATTTATTTGTGCATATGTATCTGTGGTTTATCATTTTAATTTGATCTATTTTTATGCATTTATTTTAAATAAAAATAATAATAGTTTTGTACTTGTGGACGCCCATTTCCGCCACTGAATAAAAAAAATTTTAAAAGGATAATTGCGACTTTTTATTTAATAATTCTGACTTTTTTTCTGGCAGTTGCGAGTTTATGTACAGCTTGCTATTCTGACCTTTATTCTCAGAATTGCGCGATATAAACTCGCGATTGTTAGAAAAGAACTCAGAATTGTGAGATTTAAACTGCCAGTTTTTATCTCACAATTTTGACTTTATTTCTCGCAATTTTGAGTTTATATCCCATTATTCTGACTATAACTTGCAGTTGTGAGTTTATATCATGCAATTCTGAGAAAAAAGTCAGAATTTGGAGATTTAAACTCACAATTGCAAGAAAAAAGTCAGAATTGGGAGATATAAACTCGCAATTACCTTTATTTTATTTAGTGTAAACAGGCTTCCATAGTTTAGTGTTATGCATATACATGTCTATGTGCCTTCTGTCTTTTGATGATAGAAGAGAACCACTAATTTTAGCATTTATTTACAGTAATGTGTCCAATTTGTGCCCAATCCAAGGTTCCAAATGCCTCCTTAAGTAATTCATCCTGGTGTTGACTCTGGACCAACTGACTAAATATATTACCAAATCTTCCTGCATGACTGAAGAACGTCAGCTAGAATTCAACAAATGAATTCATTTGAGAAATGTTGTGGAGTGAGAGACTGCGTTCAGCTCTGTGCTCTTGACATCTGTTTGGTCCTCATGTTTAAGAGCAGGTGTAGTCTAGGGGTGTCCAACTGATGCTGTAAATGAAAGGTCACGTCGCTCCGAGGAGAGCAGTGAGACCGTATTCAGCTATGTCTCTCTCTCTTTCTCTCTGTTGAACAGCTGAGGTGGCTGAGGCATAAATGAGCTTGTTCACTGGGTTTCAATTAACCATGAATGACTGTTTCTCTTTCTCCAACTGTCTGAAATACTTCCTGCAGTATAAAAAAAAAGTCAAAATGTGAAACATGCACACTCACTGTAAATGCCAAGGCTGCCTTATTATCGAGGCACTTCAACATAAAATGTCCTTGTTCAAAACACGCTATGTGGACAGCACCTGTCAAATGATGCTGGTTATCACAGAAATTAAATATTTTAATAGCTGTAAAATGTTGTAAAAACATATACAAATTGTATTACAATAGAGTGCACAAATAAATAAATACAATGCATTTCTGCTACAGTTATTTTAAATTGCAGTAATATTTTACAATATTACTGGTTTACTGTATTTTTGGTCAGATAAATGCAGCCTTGTGAGAATAATATACTTCTTTCAAAAACATTAAAAAAAATCTTACCAACTTTTGAGCTGCTATATATAATATGTAACTATAATATGATAATAATTATAGTAATTTTGTCTTTTATATATTCAAGGTCCTTGTAGTTCTGTTATCTGAAGAAGTCAAATTTTGAAGATATTTGTACGCTCAAATTATGAACGTGAGAGCAGCCATGCTGCTTGAAAGGCTCTTTAGCATGTATTAGAGCACCTTATGGCCATTACATTTGCTTCACTTATTAAAGAATAATTAAGATGAATGTCTCCAATCAAGCACGAAGATGGCCCTCATTTGAAATTGAACTTGAAATTGGATTAGTTGTCTTTCAATGCCATTTCTAGCAGCACGTTGAGTATGAATTCATCTCCAAATGGCTACCTGAGCCAGCATGTCTGCCCTAGAGGCCTGGTCCCATTGTACAAGCAGGTAAATGATTATGGATTTTAGTGTCCGGACTCAGATTTAGACAATTACAGCTAATGCGGTGAGCTGAATAGATATGAGGCTCAATGTCTGCTGAAGATGTATGAAAGCCTGTCCCTGTTTCATTCAAGGAGAATGAGTTGAATGCTGATGTTTTTAAGAGGTTATTTGACTAATCCTTTAGCACAATGGCTTCAGTCCTAAAATGTTTTGAACTGTTATGAACCTCTTTCCACATCATTTGGCTGCTGCTGGTTTAGGATGTCATTGTGGCATCACAGTTAGATATTTAATGTGACGGTTAAATGATTAATGCCCTTTTTGAATTGCATCTGCAAACACATCTAATGGGATTTCATTTTTTTCCCCCTTCCGATAGGTAAATGGGACAGAAATTGAATATGAATTTGAAGAGATTACATTAGAGCGGGTAAGTGTCTGTCTCTCTCTCTCACAGTACACATGCGTAGATATGTAGACTCAGAGTTGAGTTGAGCACAGGTCATGTTTTATGCTAGTGTAGATTCTTTTGCCTGATAATCCAGTCATTCACAGCTTGGTTTGTGAGCATGATCTTGAAACATAACCATCAAACATGACCAGTCACGCAACAAGCTTAGTCTGTGATTAGTAATGACTTTAAATGTGAGATCATTTGATTTAATGTTGATTGCTTTTTAGATTTGTCTTGTCATTGTGTGGATAAGCTCTCGAAAAGAGAATTTGCCTGCCTGACCAAAATGTTAACAGAATCATGTAAATGTTATACGTCATCTAAATATATATATACACACACACACACACACATATATTCAGGGTAGATTGGGTAGATTATTTACAATTTGTAGTCTGTTACTGCTTACAGATTATATGATGAAAACTGTAGTTAATAACGTAATCTAGGTTGCTCATTTTAGGAAATGTATTCTGACTACATTTTAGATTACTTTTAGATTACTTTTTTTTAAATCGAACTTGTTTTAGACTTATTGTACCATGTTGATATTATAAAAGCAAAGAGATAGAAAATATATTCAATTTTTTATATCAACATCAAAAAATGCATTAAACATTGCATTAGGGTTTCCCAAACTGGGCTTAAAACTGCAGTGAGTTGATAAAAATCTAAATTATTGAAATATTAACTAAACTATTTTATTTTAAGGAGTTCACAAAAACATGGGAATGTTCATTACATGAACAAACATTAATAAGCATGGAAACAAAAATGACACACCCAGAGTCTTCCAGGTTTGAAATGTTTTTGCCCAGAACAATATGTAATCATGTGGTCCATAAAAAAGTAACTGTAATCTGATTATGAGCATTTTATCTGCTGATTACATAATCCAGATTACATATAATCAGTTACTATCCAGCACTGTATATATACACATAAACAATTGATAATTTTATACTTCATTATAATTAAGTATAATTAATTAATATTTATCAATTATGGTTGCACCTTTAAAGACACAATAGCACAAACTGAACATAACTAAACAAAATTTGGTACTGATCTTATGTTTGAAGTGTAATCATGAATATTTAATTTTTAAAATGTCTCTGAATTATATGATTATATTTATTCATGAAAACACTTAATAATATATATATTGTATATGTTGTATATAAAACTAAGAATATCATAATACCTTTTATAATACATTATATATACAAACTCTTTAGAAAGTATTACTGAAGCTTTAATTTTGACGTATCACAGAACCCTCTTAATTGGGCTACTGTATATGCTTTATTTGCAAGTGAAAGCCTGGGGTGCACAGTAGAGTCAGTGTGAGAGAGAGAAAATTAGACGGCTGCAGATGACATTCTGGCAGCTGCAATCGGATCCACATGACTAGACACAGAGCACGGACAATAGCAAAGGTCAACTAGACCAGAGGGAGCGCAGATTTGTCCAACCCTGGAGGCAGGAGGCTGAGAGTGTATATTCAGGGGTTTCTGCAGACTCGACTGAGATTACAAGCTAGAAAATTGGATACAAGCCGAGGCGATAACTCTGCTGCTAGAGGCTGATCTGTTATTGTCACCCATTTCTCTCTCTTTCTTTCACTTTAAAAGCATCTCTCCACCCTGATGCTATAGTTTTGGTATTGCCTTTTCGTAACTTTGCTGTTCTATCCAATCTCTCAACGTAGCCAGGGAACATCTCTAATCAGCAAAGGTTAATTCTCCTCACGATCCACTTTGTTTAAAGCTTAAAAGCCTGTGTATTATACAGACGCGGAACCCTGGAGAGCCCCATCATAAACACGTCACTTCAAAATATTAGCCTGTTAGTCTATTTATGTCTCAGAGATGTTAAATGTGGCTCTAGCCCACGGTTGTGACAGGTTTTGATTTGTGAGTTTGTGCTGCTCAGAGGCGCATGCCATGCCAAACTGTAAACACTGATGAGTCATGGGTAGCAAAGTGCACCTCATACAAAAATAATGTTAACCTTCTCCCTTTGTTCATTCTGTTGTTGTTCTGTTATTTAGGCTCTTTTCACTGAGGCAAAG